GTAGTTGTTGCATTAAGACATGACAGTCGTGAGATTTTAAGCCAACTAATTTAAGATCTTTAACTGATACAAGCCTCTTGACATTTGATGAGTAACCATGCGGCACTTTGATACTTTGTAAACACTCACAAAAACTTGTTTTCTCTTTTTTAGACAAAGTGTAGCAGGCAGGAGGCAAATATGTCTTGTTACCTATACATTGTGGAGTTAACTCTTCTCGTATACCCATCAAACCCAAATCCAGAAGAGCATTAATACCATCTTTTGTCTTGCCTTGAATGTTGAGAAGTGTTCCGATTACACTATCGCATACATTTTTCTCCACGTGCATCACATCAATACAATGTCTTACATCAAGACTAGACCAATATGGAAGATCGAAGAAAATCGATCTCTTTTTCCATACATTTTTCATAGTAGATTGTTTTTGGTACTTTCCAAAGACAACATCAAGTCCCTGTTGTCGCTGATAAACTTCCTCTCCAGACAAGGGCTTTGGAGCAACATCATGATCTTGTTCCCTATTGAAAGCTTTCCGCAATCTACGATATAGATGATAATGTTTTAGAAATTTTTGATGCCCGAGATAAACAATCTTCTTTCCTTTTTCAAGCTGATGGTAACATGTGTCTTTTTCACATATAGGACACGCCTTATGCCCTTTAACTTTATACCCAAACAAATTACCATATGCCGGAAAATCGTTGATGGTGCAAAACAACATGGCACACATATTGAACTGTTCGCCAGAATATGCATAAAAAACATCCACCCCTTCCTCCCACAACACTCTTAAATCATCAATTAGTGGACTTAGATAAACGTCTGTGTCATTTCCTGGTTATTTTAGGCCCGATATCATCATCAATAACATAATATATTTACGCTTCATGCACAGCCTAGGAGATAGGTTGTAAATCATCAGGAGAAAAGGCCAAGAACTATGGTTAGTACTCAGATTACCAAACAGATTCATTCCATCAGTAGCAAGTCCAAGTCTAAGGTTTCTCGACTCTTTGCCAAAATTTGAAAACAAATAATCTATTTTCTTCCATTGCAAAGAATCAGCTACATGAAGAATTTGTCCATCATATTTTCTTTCTTCTGCATGCCATCTAAGATTCTTTGCGTCATCTGCATTGGCGAATAATCTCTTGAACCTTGAAATTATTGGTAGGTACCATACCACTTTCGCAGGAGGACCCTTTTTGACCATCTCATCATCAATTGATTCACCATCTTTCTTTTTGTAGCGTGAAGCCTTGCACTTCGGACAATGATTATAGTTTACATACTCTTTTATGTATAATATGCAATCATTAGTGCATGCATGTCTCTTTTCATACTCCAAACCCATCGAACACAATATTTTCTTCGCCTCGTAATAACGACTTGGCATTACGTTACCTTCTGGAAGCATTTCGGTCAACAATTCAAGCAACTCAGTAAAACTTTTGTCAGTCCACCCATTCTCTGGCTTCAGATTAAATAATTTTAACACCGCGGACAGACGTGTGATTTTTTTGCATCCCGGGTACAATGGTTTATCCTTGTCACTGCATATAGTATCATACGTATGTGCCCTCTTAAACGAATCTTGTCCAATATCACACATCATGTCTTCTAGACGATCATCCATTTCTACACTAACATCATCTCTTTGAGACATGTTTGACTTTGCTACTACTTCACCGTGCCATATCCATTATGTATAACTTTGACAAATCCCTACACAAATTAGATGATCCATGATTTCTTTCTTACTACGTTTTGGTTCTTTATTTGCACAACGAACACATGGACAAAGAAAAAGCGTAGGAAGACTTTTTTCAGCATTACTTTCAGCAAACTGTAGAAATTCCATCACTCCATGTTCATACTCGTCACTTAATCGATTAGCTCTCATCCAACTACGATCCATAACTATGTTCACACTGAGGAAGGTCTGACGAAGGGTGTGCCCGCGGCTGCGCTACTTCACGGAGATTCTGAGATTGCAAGTTGCGCTGCTTCGCGGAGAAAGAAAAATAGAATCAAATTTCAATGGCAAGGTGATAACTCTATTAAGTTTGATATGTTAAAGATAAATTGTGTGTTTCTGAGAGGACCATTAACGCTTTTTCCGGAGGTTTCTAAATAGACAATTTCTCTAATGAAAAAGAATGACTAATTATACACAACATGTACTATATTCTTAACTTTATACAAAATATATACTATTTATAATTAATTAGACTTAATTAACCTCTCTAATAATAATAAATTGTTTAGTAATTAAAAAACATATATGAACAAAGTAATGGTTTCATAGTATAATCTTCTAATTATTTTTCTATGTACTTCTAATTTTTTATAATGAATCTCAGTAACACACAAAGAAACAAGAATATCTTAAAAACTTTTTTATATATATAACTCTTAGAAACTAAAACACCAATGTTTGTCTTTGGAATACAAAAGTTGCTTGACATTGAGATATCAACTTACCCATGACCCTCTTCAACCTAGAAACCAACATCTTGGAAATAATTCTATATAAACTTTCAACCAATTCCTAGATATACAATAAAGTTGAACAAAATAGAAAGTTTCATACCGGAATCGTAGTTGGACGGTGGAGGATGTTTCGAAGACGGCGAAGGGACGGCGAAACGGACGACGAAGGGACGACGAAACGGACGACGAATGGACGACGGAGGATGTCTTGGTGCAGCCGGCAGCAAGGAGATGTGAAATCTGTGAGGAGCGGCGTAGGCGAGACGACGAAGCGACGTAGGCGAGACGGGCGGAACGGCGTAGGCGAGACGCGTGGGACAGAGAAGTTGAACAGTGACGAAATAATTTGCATTTAGGGGTTATTTCAACATTATATATATATATATATATATATATATATATATATATATATATATATATATATATATATATATATATATATATATATATATATATATATATATATATATATATATATATATATATATATATGTTTTTACATCGGTGCAACCATTGGCCCGATGTAATAGATAAGGCGGTTATGTTTTTTACATCAGTTTAAAGAATGGCCCGATGTAAGGTTCAGGCGCTGATGTTTTTTACATCGGTGGAATAAATGGCCCGATGTAAGGGTTAACATATTTTTTATATTACCAATCTGCCACAGACTTTTTTACATCGGTGGATTGCAGGAACCGATGTAATATCTGGCCAGTTTTTTATTTACAATTCTTCCACCTGGTTTATTATTTACAAAAATGTCACCGTGTTTTTTTTCATGAAACCTTTTACATCGGTGGATTAAATGGACCGATGTAATAGATAGCGAAAAATATTTTTTTTCATATTATTTATATCATTGCAAATAAATACATGTTTTTAATTTTATTTTTTACATCGTATATTTTGATACCTGATGTAAAAACCTTTTCTCAAATGTCATTTTTTTAGTAGTGAATTCATCAACTTGGAGACCATTGACGAGTAGAATTGGGGGGTAACATGCTTGGTTTACTTGTACTCCAACCAGAACGAAGGTTGCAAATGGAAGACGAAGCAGATGTCAGCCTCAACAAACTAATATTTTTTCACAGTTGTTACTAATACCTTTTTTCTTGCCGGTTTGTATGCAGTAGAAGGAATGATCATATCTTTCCTTACCATGTGTATATCGAGCAAATTCAACATGACGATATAAGATGGAGGCCATGCGGTGCTTATCAAGACAAATTTCCATTCGACCCCATTTCCTTATAATCTGGATGGTTGGCATGTGAGACCAACATGATGTGTAGGTATCTGCCTGAGCGGTGCATGCGCCAGTTTGGGTACGTCCAGATTATTCCGAGGTCCCCTTTGCAGGTTTCCCCGCTCACTATTATCTATAGACCCCTGGATGATTCTGGCGGATTTTGAGAGTCGTCTGGCATCAGAGGAGTATCAGAGTCAGACAGTCACATTTTAGTGGTCTTACCATTATGCGGCTTGCACGTGTGGGCATTGAGTTCGAAGTGTTTGCGAGAGGTGGAGATAAAGCAAACACTCTAGAACAATCCATTATTTTCGAGGCACGAAGCGCCGTGGCTTACCGTAGGCAAAGGAGGAACCAAAGTGTTATGATTAAGCATACACAGTAGAATATGTATTTGATTGTATTTTGTTTAATTTTAATCGACCTTGAGAATAATTGTAGTACTAATGTATTTAGTTTCTATACTATTCATTTTTATTAAAGCTTTACGTAGTTCTGTAATATTTGTTTTTATTAATCGTTGAAATAAATAACGACAATTTTAATATTTTCGATTGAAAACACCATAATAATAGAAAACCGATTCGGGAAAAATCACACGAGAAACAATTCGGAGACGCGTCTCCGAATTATCTATGTACATAGTTCGAATATGCATCTCCAAACCAAATTTCTTAAGAAATGAGGAGTTGTTTTTTATTTTCTAAGGTGAAAGGTGATTTTGGAGGTGTACCTTCGAACTAAATTTTGTCAAAAAAATAGTATTTAGTGCGTTCAGAAATACATATCTGAATTCATCCAAAAACATTTTTCGAATTTTCAGAAATACACCCCATATAATAAAGGGGTGAGAAATTGCTCAAAAATTTTATCGCAAATTAGATTCAATCCTTAAAAATTAATGGTATTTCATATTCAAACCTTATAAAATTTAACATGAGTTAACTTTTTCTCACAAAATCTAACATGTGTTAACTTATTCTCACATCTAATCACTGACAATCAATCACAACACTAAATTCTTAAAATATTTAATATTTAATAATTATTTTTAAAATTAGTTTTCATACAAAAATAAATAACATTATAAAAGTCATAAAAAAAAACCCAAAACGATATCATTTATAAGTTTAAGAATTTGGTTTTTCCTTGATATAAAAAAGAAAAGAGAGTAGTATTGTGCAAAACGCTGCGTTTAGAGGATAAAATCGAGAGAAGAATCAAGAACGTGAGAAGCGGCTGATATTTGGTTATGCTATACTACTACTTCTCATTTCTCTCCTCATTCGATATCGTTATCGTCTTCTTCTTCTACCTCCAACCAACCTCCTCGTTAGGGTTTTCACTTCCTACTCTCTTTTCACTTTTCACCATTCGCGAGATCACAATTTCCCTCTCCCAAGGTAATGTAATCGATCCATTTCCAATTCCAATTCCAATTAGAACTTGTTCATTTTCGGTAAATTAGCGCGTATTTATTGTTTGTGATTTTATGCATGTTGCTTTTATTTGATTTAATTGATTCCTTGTGCTCTTCTTCACTGTGTGATTTTTTGTTTTTATTTTGAATTGAAGAGTGTTGAAGTTGTTTCTATGGTTTGAACTATTTCAGGTGTGTTTTGTTTGTAATTGTGCACTCTATGGTTGATGATTAATGCTAATGGTTGGAATGTCGAATAATTTGGTTTCCGAGCCAGTAACGAGCCGGCAGATGGCTCAATTGGAGCCTATTTTGAACAAGGTTGATTCGTCGGGACTCTTGCATCCTGTAGCCAGTGATTCCGTGTCACAGAATCAGGGAACCTCGAATGGTGAACCCAAGTCTCAAGGCTTACCGCTTTCTGACCGGCAGAGTGGCCGGGTAGAAATGCAGGATGGGAATACGGGAGTGCATCGGCTTATTCCCCAGAAACAACCCGTGCAAATGGGGCCACGTCAACTGTCAGCAGCTCCTAAGCGGAAGACGACAATGGAGCTGCCTTCGGGTAGCTTCATAACACCTAGTAAGCGGGAAAAACCAGCGGCACAGAGAACTTGGACACAGCAATCATCAAGTAAAGGTTCTCAACAGATGCAATCACCGACAAATGCTTCTAGAGCACAGCATTCGGCAGCATTTAGTAAGAGAAAAACACAGATGGACTCTACCTCCAGCAAACCCGGGACGCCTCGGTCCTCAAATTTTAAAAGTCAGAGTGCACAGATGAAAGAATCCTCCAAGGTTCAAACTGAATCATCTGAGAGTGTTAGGTCCAAGATGAGAGAGTCATTAGCTGCTGCTCTGGCGTTGGTATCCCAGCAAGATAAACCTCTGGTCTCAAACAATGACAAACCAAATGATGCGGCCAATAGCTCTCAGTGTGCTGAACCTGCATCTGCATCTGCCGACTCTGCTCCAGAACAAAAGCAGGAAATTTGTCAAACTGTTAATTCCTCTTTACCTGTGGCTGATTCTGTTGGCCGTGTGATGGGAGAGCACATGAGTAATACATCTATTGGAGATTTTTCTGAAAAACCAAAGGACTATGAAGCAGGATTCACAAATGTGTTAAACAATGAAGACATGTTGAGTTCCGACAAGCAAGATTTCCAGTCTAACTACACTTTGACTACTGATGATGTTCCTTTCAGTGACAGTTTCTTTGTGAAAGATGACCTTCTGCAGGGAAATGGTCTTTCCTGGGTATTACCTGATATGGACCATATGATGGACATGGATGATCAAAGGGAAAGTCAAATTATGATGGAGAAGAAATTGGAACCTGAGGTAACAGGTGGAGTTTGTAAGGCGGTGGTCCCTTTACCTGAACTTTTAGCATCAAGGGTAGAAGCAGAGCTCTTCAAACTGTTTGGAGGTGTGAATAAGAAATACAAAGAGAAGGGAAGGTCTCTTTTGTTCAACTTGAAAGATCGCAATAATCCTGAACTCAGAGAAAGGGTTATGTTTGGTAAAATTCCTCCCGAACAGTTATGCTCCATGACTGCGGAGGAACTTGCTTCAAAGGAGCTTTCTGAGTGGCGGATAGCCAAGGCTGAGGAGTTTGCTCAAATGGTGGTTTTACCTGATTCAGATGTTGATATTAGACGCTTAGTCAGGAAGACGCATAAAGGTGAATTTCAAGTGGAAGTTGAACACGAAGACAATGTTCCAGTGGAAGAGGTGTCTGGTGGCAAAACTTCTGTTGTTCGAAGGCAACCAGTTAAAAAGGACGTGAAAGCCACTTCTTCTTTTAAACCTGCCAGTGTAATCAAAAGAGATGTAAGCACTGACGAAGAAAAGAGCAACATACAGACGGATAATCAATTTTCCATTACCATTGCTTCCAATGACGGGACTGATCCAATGCAAGGGCTTATGGCAGATGATGATGCATTGAAGGACCCTGACTTTCTTCCCCCAATTGTATCTCTTGATGAATTCATGGAATCCCTTGATTCTGAGCCACCATTTGAAAATTTACCCGCTGAGTCTGGAAAGGCACCTACCTCAAACAAGGATGTTTCTGAGGTTGGAACAAAATCAAAATCTTCAGATTTAATTCCAAGTGAGAAAGGTGATGTCAGTGCTAATAAGTCTGGTAAGCTTCAAAGTACAGATGCTGAGGAAGAAAAAAAAGTTAATGCTGAAGCAGGGTCCAGTTTGTCTGATACAAAATACAGTGAAAGTCGATCTGACACCAAGCCGACTGATGGTCATACCAAGGAAATGTCAATTGATGGCAAAAAATCAAAATCCAATGACGCTGAGTTAAGAGCTAGTCAGTTTCAAGCAGAAGAGATATATGGCAAGGATAATGTGTCGAAAACTACAGTTCCCATTAAGGGTGAATGCCTTTGGGAAGGAATGCTTCAGCCAAACATCTCAACCACTGATTCAGTCATTAGCATCTTCAAAAGGTAGTCTACTACCATTTTTTAGTACATTTTTATGAAAACTGTTCCTTGCTCTCCAAATATTTTGCAACTGATTAATTCTTTTATCTAGCATGTTAAGCAAAAAATTTTAAACCGTGTACAAAAGAGGTGAAAGATCAATAATATCATATACAAGGGAAATGATAACAATGGGATGTGATTTTGGATTTTGTAACTGTCTTCACTTTTCTCATTCTTTTAATGCTTGTGATTTTTCAATTTTTATTTTGCGTTGACTTGTGATTTGTTTTAACCTGCACACAATCTCGGATAAATGTGGCAACCTACATTCAATGTGGTCCCTTATGGTCAGTAGATCAAAATTTCATGTTCTAGTTGAACACAATGGCAATTGTACAGAAGCATATTTTAATGCCACCAAAAACAAGTTTGACAAGATTTCTCTAGGGCATGGAATTTGTTTTAATTGGTCTCTTGTTTTAAGCCTTATTTATATTTATTTTCTTCATCTACTCCTGCAAGCCATCTTACTAACAACATGTAAGTTGTTTCGTGTTATTTTTTGGGTGAATAAAACTGCAAATTACAATTTCTTTTGTGAATGCGGTTTCAGTCAGGTTTTTAGAAGTTTTCTAGTTTCTTCACAGGATTCATAATTGACTCTGGAACAATCCTCAATATTTTGGGGACAATACTATTTAATAGCTGTTCGTCGAGTTTTTAAGCTTCTTTTAAAGCAGCTAGTTTGTGTTATTTTTATATCAATTCACTTTTAGGAAATTGTTGATTCTTCCAACTTATGGTAACTAGGCATGTTTATTTTGGAGTATATTTGATTATTTATACTTCTCAATGCCTTCCGTGTCTATTCAAACAACCCCAAAGGTGGTTTTCAAATACTGTTTTATGTTTATCTCGAAAAGGGTGAAAAATGTTTTTTTTTTAAAATTAGACTATTATGTTTGTTCCTTTTTTTCCCCAAAGAGGTCTACGTTGTGTTGTGGGGGTTGATGTGTTCCACCATAAACCACTTTCATTTTCTTATTTCATTGAAAAAAAGAAGATATTTTTTATCTGTACTGTTTGAAGAGGATTAATATTTGTTATGTTTTTCCATTTCCTGATCTTACATTATATTTTTTGTGAAGCGGTGATAAAACTTCTACCAAAGACTGGCCTGGATTTCTCGAGATTAAGGGAAGGGTTCGGCTGGATCCGTTTGAAAAATTTCTGCAAGAGCTTCCACAGTCAAGAAGTCGTGCCATCATGGTACCTCAAGTTTTCTTTTGTTGTGCTAGACTTGTGTATCGCCTGTTTATCTCACCAGCCATATATATAGCGATGATTGAAAATGAAAAAAATGTTGCAGCTTGATGCTAATGTTCTCTTTTCATCACATTTTTTGTATTCTAGACCTGTGTTTTGGCGGTTTATCTCACCAGCCATATATAAAGCAATGATTAAAACTGAAAAATAATGCCAGCTTGATGCTACGTTTTTGTTTTAATCATGTGTTTAAACAATAGCATCGTGAATTAAAGCGTGCTTTCTTCTTTTTCCTTTGTTGATGAGATGATGTAGTCACTAGAGTAGTACTAGTTGGTAGTTGTGTACGATTAATGACAGATTTTTAAAGCTGTCAGGATAAAACAAAGAAAATGTGTTGGTTATGAGGGAGAAAATGAGTTGTAGCATCTGTATAACTTGAAAAAACATTTGTCACGGTTAAATTGGATTACAAGATTCACTTTTTGCTGTTGGTAATTACTCTTAAGATGTCTGACAAATTGCGGAGATAATAGCATCGGGAATTACTGTGTGCTTTCTTCTTTTCCTTTGTTGATGAGATGATGCAGTCACTAGAATAGTACTGGTTGGTGGCTGTGTATGATTAATGATGGATTTTAAAGCTGTCGGGGTAAAACAATGAGAATGCATTGTTATGAGGGAGAAAATGAATTTTGGGATTTGTATAACTTGAAAAAACATTTCTCACAGTTAAATTGGATTACAAGATTCATTTTTTGTTGGTAACTCAGATGTCTTGCAAATTGTGTAGAACAGTTTCTCGTTTTCTTGGCATGTGTCTTTACAACCGCTCAATCACATAAATTCATGCCCACTCATAAGAAAATTTGGGCTGAAAATTCAATAACATTTTTAGGAGTTTTATGAAAAATCTCCCCATCAGACTCTCCTATTTTAGGGGAGGCTGGAGTGTATGAAACCGACTCCTTAAGTTTGGTGTGGATGACATACATGGCATGATGTCACAACATAAGACCGGACCTAGTTTGAATATATTTTACTGACTGAAACCACTTGCTTTTTGATTTGAATATTATCATAACTGATAGAGAGCTGTGTATATGATGAAAGAGCTGTGTATATGATGAAAACATGTTTCACACGTAATTTTCTTTTTCTGCTATGGATATATAGTTACAAAGTTTTTGTCAGCCAACAAAAAGTTAACAAAGTTTCTTTGTATGGCAGGTTTCACATTTTATTTCTAAAGGGTCAACCCCTGAGGAGCAAGCAACTCTCCGTGAGGTAATGATAATTATTAGATTGGTTAACTCTCTCTATTTTTAGCTGTGGATTGGTTATTATAATTAGATAATTTTGCTTGCAGGTGGCTGATTCATATATTTTGGACGAGAGAGTGGGATTTGCAGAACCTGTGCCTGGAGTTGAACTTTACTTTTGCCCACCTCATAAGAAAACAGTTGAAATGCTGAGCAAGATACTTTCAAAGGAACAAATTGAGGCAGTTAATTCAATTGATAATGGTCTAATTGGTATTATTGTATGGAGAAAAACTAATATAACTACATCTATATCTCCCACCGCTCAATCACACAACAAACATAGCTCTAAAAGGCATAACTTGAGTAGAAGACAGCAAGATACTAATGCGAATGCCAAATCTACCCATAATGCAGTACCCTCTAAGACCATCGAGAGTGAACCTCCGGGTGATGATGGTGATGACGATGACGTTCCTCCTGGATTCGGGCCACCGGTAGCCCGAGGTGAGGATGACCTCCCTGAGTATAATTTTTCCAGTAGTTCAAATCCATCACACTTGGCTCAAAAACCTATGGGACCAAGTACAGTTCCATCTCACTCGGTTGGTCAAACCCCTTCCCGTCCCGCACAACAAATGAGAGAACTTGTGCACAAATATGGGCAAAACGCAACACCTGTATCCTCAGTAAACTGGCAGGACAAATTTAGGGGGTCAATTCAGCCCTGGAATGATGATGATGATGATGATATACCTGAATGGCAACCAAATATGAATCAGAATCAGTTTACTCCCCAACAAACAGTTCATAATTTTAATCTTAGACCTCCCATTATGAATCAACCATTTGTGGGTTTACCGCAGCAACCAATTATGCCTGCACAGTTTCTGCAACCCCCAACGAATGTGGCACATCACCAACGAAATTTTGTCCCTCAGTGGGTTCCTCCTATCCAGGGTATTACCAATCTACAACCAAGCAATGCACCACCACCACCACCTTATGGAACACCTACACAAGGAACTCCATGGTCCCATCATGTTTCTAGAAGTAGAGGACTTTAGTTTCTTCAAGTTCAGTTCATTTTATTTTACTTTTCTTTTAATTTTTATACATCTGTAGCCATATGTAAACTTATGATAGTGTCAGATTCTTTAGAACTTATCTTGTAAAATCAAGACTTTATAGAGGTATTAGACCAAGCAAATGACTTCTTTTCATATCCTGCTTTTTCATGCGATTATTAAATATGATGGATAAGAAGTTTTATTTTAGGATAGTTTCAAATTTCCATTAGCACTAATCATTTGATATAGTTTAATAAAAAACACAATTAAAGGTATAGAAACGTTCCCTTTGACTAGTATGTGCAATGTATGACCTATTGTATATTAGTCTTGTACAGAAAACGCACAATAATAAAAGGGGTCATAAAAAGGGTCACGTTAGTGTTGCACTAAAAAATGGATGGAAAAGTTATACATCCTCAAGAAAATGACAAATGAAAAAGCAACCAAGAGTTGAAAAATAGCATAATCAATCCTGGATCAACCTCCCAAAACTCTCTTAAGTGCAGCACGTTGGCCTGATGTCAATTTTTTAGGGAACTTAACCTCAAATATGATCTTCAAATGACCCCTATGACCAGGTTCCTTTGTTATTGGCATTCCTTCATTAGAAACAACAAGCTCATAACCAGGACTCACAATGTCTTTCACTTGAACGCGTAAGATACGTTTGTCGAGCGTTTTTATATTTATTAATGTTCCTCCAATGGCTTCTGCTAGTGTTATCCTCTGGTTCACAATAAGGTCATTCCCATCTCTCTTGAACACTTCATGAGGCTTCTCATCAATCACAAATACAAGGTCTGCTGGTAGTTGATTTAATTGCTGATTCCCTTTATCTGGGAATGTAATCTTTGTCCCTTTCTTCCAACCCGGCTTTACCTCAATGCTTAATACCTCCGTTTCTTTGATTTCCCTTCTGCAATTTCCGCCATCATAAATAAACAAAGGTTACCTTACAACAATTGAAACATGAAACAAACATCTACAATCTGTTTTCATATTAAAACACAAGCTGTTTTCATCAGTTTTATTGAAAAACTTGTGGAAATAAGCTGAAAATAGCTTATCCAATTGTCATAAACGGTTTTCATAAGTTCTCCTAAACAATCTTACAGAAAAACATATCAATAAGAGTAAGATAAGTTGGATTGGGATCCTATGCGGCGTCGGCTACACCAGTGTAGTCGCGCTGCATACAATCTCCAAACACAAACATATGAAACATACCCGTAAGAATTGGGATCCATTACAGTCCTTGAGATCTTCATTTTCCTAGTAGAACCAGAATACAACTCCTCCAAACTACAAAGCAATTTAGTCTCCACAGGTGACGGTTTCTTTGGCATATGCGATCTTTCGCTGTGTGTTCGAAAATTAAAATCTCCGCTGAATCCACCAAACGGAGCGCTTCCTCCACCATCAGATGAGAATCTCTTCGACCTTCCAGGTCCAGACGATCCAAAATTCAAAGGACTACTCCCAAAGAATTCCGTAAAGATATCCTCCGCAGTTCGATTAAAACCATTCGCCGACTCATTTCCCGGCGGTGGCTTATCTTTTAACCCTTGTTCCCCAAGCTGATCATATAGCATCCTTCTTTGAGGATCACTCAATATCTAAAATTAATAAAATTGTCTCAAAATTCAGAAAATCACACCGTTACAATACACCATAACAATAAAACATACATAACTTCTTTGACAAGAAATCCATAATGAATAAAAACCCTATTTTTCTTTTCATTTTATACAATTACAATTTTCTACCACGAATCTAACATAAACCATCAATTTCTCTAATCTGCATCTACATTCATAATCTTTAAACATCGAAATTACATTGTAAGAATAAAATTCAATTTTTTATTTATAAATTATATAATTCAATTCCCAAATAACAAACACAAAACAAATGAAAATTGAAAAAAAAAAAAAAAGAATGAAAATTTTACCGCATAAGCTTCAGAAATTTGTTTGAAATTGGCTTCAGCTTCTTTTTTATTGGTAGGGTTCTTATCAGGGTGCCATTTCATAGCCAATTTTCTATAAGCTTTCTTCAAATCATCATCGGTAGCATTTTTTTCAACCTTCAAAATATTATAGAAATCCACACCCATTTTTGAAAATGTGAATCAAGATCAACAATTGTAAAATCAACTATTATTCTTGCAAACTTTGTGATGAACAAAGAATACAAAAATTGGTTGATTGAACAATTGAGAAATTTTTCTGAGAATTTTGGAATGGAAAATGAATTATGGGGTTTGGGATTTTTGTATTCAATAATACAGAAAAATAATTTTCATTGGGATTATTATGTTGTTAATAGAGAATACTAAACAGAAAATTTTGGATCATACAAAATTATATTACCGAGAGTTTTGTTTTTATGACTTGGATTACTCATTATATAATTTATAGTGTTTTCAATTCATTTAGTTTTTTTAGCTGAAAGTAACAAAAAAATAGTTTAATTAGTGGTTTATTTTATATTTCTAAAGATAATAAATCGGTACATAAAATTTATGACTCTATTCATACAAGTTTAAGGATTGTTAAACAATATTTATTTTATTTTATAGTTTTAGACATTTTAAGGAGGTTGTGGGTTCTATTTGCCGGATGGTTGGTATTTAAGGTTGTAATGAAAGGGGTTTGTAAGAATTTGACACAATATCTCAATCTTTTAGTTAGGAATCAAGATATCAGGTGGTGCTGAGCTAGTTTACACAATGATATCAGGGTGTTGAGCAAGCAACGTGGAAATTATTCACTATGGTTACAATAGATTTCACAAATGCATTCAACCCGGTAGATCGATCAACCATACTGTGAGATGTGAGAGTGATATGTCCATCTATTTTCTTGTGAGTTGAGTTTTTCTATGGTCAGGCTAAGGTTATACATTGGGTATGTGTATGCCAATGGAGTGCAATAAGGTGATCCATTAGGGCGGTTTCTTTTTGCCCTTGTGTTAATCCCACTTATTCATCAGATCAGTGACAACTGTAAACTTCTTCTTCATGTCCAATATCTTGATGAAGGGACTATCATAGGAGATTCAAAGGAGGTGGCTAAAGCCCTCGACATCATTCAGAAGATCGGTCCAAAATTAGGTCTTAAATTGAATAATCATAAAACTGAGATCTTTTGGCCTTTGTTTAATGGTAGTAAACTTCGTGGGGAGTTGTTTCCTTCAAACATTTAGAGGTCGATATTAGAGATGAAGTTGCTTGGAGGGTGTTAGCTCCTGAATTCGACACCTTAACATGTTGGTCCTACTGACCAAGAATAGGTTGAAGAAATCTAAAGTTAAAGACGCTTCGACAGAAGAGTTCGTGATGTTAGTTGTGTCGAAGCTATGCTAAGAAGAGAATAAATACTTAGATAAATTTTCTAATTTAAAAGGGGGTGTTCGACCAAGAAGCCTTTGCCCTTCGACCAGGAAACTTCGTATCAGCAACAAATGATTTTGAATCTGAAGAAAGGAGGGAAAAGTAGTTCACCTGGCAGTTGAAGAAAGCAACGTGGCATAAAGACAAGAGTCGAAGTGCATGCAGAGGACACTTGTCCTCATCTTAGAGCGAGGCAATTCCTCAATGGTTACCTAGTTCTAGTATAAATATAGGGATTCTATGTAGATTTCCGTGTGTTCAACTAATTGTACAAGTCACTCAATATTATTCGAGTACCCGCTGCGTGAGAAAGAATACTGAGAATGTACGTTTGAAACACCATATTTTATAATCAAAGTATTTTACATTCATTTTTACATTCCTTGCCATTCTTGCTTACAGCCTTTTATCTTGCTTGCAAAGTTTATTTTCCCTTGCATTTTACTTGCACTTTTTACTAGATTTCTACACTTAAACTTATCTCAAACCTCTACCTTTCTTAGTCGAATGTGTTCTTTATTAAAATTAGCATTTTTATCAAAACAACACAAATATTTAGCATATGTCCTAGGATCAAACTGATCGATCCTGCAAGTAACCAAAAATTATCCTTTTTGGAAGATCAGCGGTTGTTTATCAATTTTCACGGTAAACAAATTGACACATCTGGTGGGACCTTGCTAATTTTTGTTTGCTTGTTTATATTAACATAAATGCTTTACATAATTTCTTTTCTTTTACAAAGTGTTGTATGTTATTAAGAAGTGGTAAATTAACCACCAACAAGTGTACAACTAGGAGAAGAAATAGTGAAATGGCTAATCAGCCAAATAATGGAGAAATACCTCCATCAATTACTGCGGAAACAGCGGTTATACCAACCGTTAGTGAAACTATCCCATCAACCATTAGTTTGGCACCAACGTTGACAGTAACACAAACGGGACCAATACTTTCGTATGTAGGTCCCAGAGGTCCATTAGGAACACCCCCACCAAGGGTAAATCCAGGATCTCGATCCTATTTTCCCCCAGAATTTTCGACAGTCTGGATGGGTCGAGACCAGCCTTATGGCATGTCAGCTTCTGAAATGGCTAGTCTTATGAACGCTGCGTCCATATTTTCAGAACCTTTGGTGAGTGCGTCTTTGCCATTAAAGGGATCTGGAACCGGTATGGCGAATTTGGGTAGAAACCAACTCTTAGGAGGGATATCCCATGCAATACCAAGCCTCACAAATGCTTCTATGACAATTCTGAGGCAACAAATGGACGAGAGTAACCATGATATGGTACAAATTTCGGCACAAACTTTGAGTACAATGCTGAACCCTCTAATACAAAATACCACCCAGTCGAATCATCAAATGACAACTCAAATAAAGCGCATGGCTGAATTTTTTAGGGTTCCCCAACCTATTCGATAACCCCAAAGAGCGCCAATAATAGGGAATCAGGGTATAGTCTTAGAGGAAGATGTGACCATTAACCAAAATCTACAACCAGTTGAAATGAATCATAGAATGGAGATCGAACAACCTAGGGTCGAAATACCCAGAGTTCCCCTACAAATCCCTAGATATGCCAATCAAGGTGTAGTTGTGGTAAATAAAAACCAAAATGCTGATGAAGTGATACAGCAGGTTCGACACTATAATTATGGAACAAATAATAATCTGACAGCCATGATCGAAAGAATCATGATACAAAATGGAATGAACATTGGCTTTCAAAGGCCAAACTTTACATCCCCATTGTCAGAGTATATCTTGCAAACAGATTTACCCCCTAGGTGGAAAGTTCCAAAGTTCACCAAATTTTCCAGGGATACAACAGAATCTACGGTCGAACATGTGGCGAGATATTTGATAGAAGCTGGAGAAATCTCAAATAACGAGAGCCTTAGGATTAAGTACTTCCCAAGTTCCCTAACTAAAAATGCTTTTACTTGGTTTACCACCCTCCCATCCAATTCGATCCACAATTGGAATCAATTGGAGAGATTGTTCCATGAACAATTTTACATGGGACAAACCAAAATAAGTCTGAAAGAATTGGCTAGTGTGAAAAGGAGATTCACTGAGCCAATAGATGAATATCTAAATAGATTTCGACTGCTCAAAGCCAGATGCTTTACACAAGTGCCTGAGCATGAGTTGGTCGAAATGGCAGCAGGGGGCCTAGATTATTCTATTAGGGAAAAATTAGATACCCAATACCTGAGGGATATGGCCCAATTGACCGATAGAGTTCGACAGGTAGAATGTCTTAAAGCTGAAAAAGCTAAAGCAACTAAGACTCATTGAAGAGAAAGGGTAGCCTATATTGAAATGGATAATGACGATCCAAAGACATCTAGTGATCCTATATCTGTTGAAGAAAGTGAAATAGATTTAGCAGAAGCAAGGGCTACCGTACTCTTGCAGATTGCTAATGCCCTCAAATGGGAAGAATCCTACTGAGTCTGAAAAGAACAGTGATAGATTCCCAAAGAAAATATATAGTTTTGACGTCACAAAATGTGACGAGATATTTGACTTGTTAGTTAAAGATGGCCAAATGTTAGTGCCCCCAGGGGAAAAAATGCCTCCTTTAGAACAAAGAAAGAAAAGAGGTTTTTGTAAGTATCATATTTTTTTGGGCCATAAAACTTCACAATGTTTTCTTTTCAGGGATCTCGTTCAAGGAGCAACCAAAGAAGGAAGACTCAAGTTTGCTGACAAACCTCCGATGAAAATCGATGCAAACCCATTGCAAGCTGATGCCCACTATGCTGAACCATCAGGCATCAACATGGTCGAAGTTTCAGAAGACTTCGTCAATAAGCCTATTTTTGGCAGTTTCACTGGGAACATCTCTAGAAAGACAGTCGAAGGAGTGAGAAAGGCTACTGAAGGCCTAAACAAAGGAGCTACTGAAGGCTCAAACAAAGGGACTACTGCAGGTTCTTATTTGGCTGTCGTTACGGGTTCGACAGAGGACCCAGAAACCAAGATGTAAAGGATGAATCTCGCTGCCAAGAGTAACATAGAAGTCAATATGGTTGAAGTATCTGAGGTGAAGGCTTCAGAAGATGCCATCAGACAAGAGGAAGTCAATAAAACTGCATTTCCTAAAGAGAATGAGAATCTGGCAGTTTTTCTGCAACGATGCCAGAAAAAGAAGTCTGAAGTCATGCTGTGTCCAAGATGCAACTCCATCTTTGACAAAAAGGCTGTAGAATACATATAGGGTGTGAGGGCAGCAAAGGAGAAATGGGGCACCAATGCCCAACCCAACATGGATCCTGAGGTCAGATATGATCCCAGATGAGGATATCAGAAGGGACCAATGAACCAGGTGAAGATGCCATCAACTTTCAGGCCTCCAACAAATGTCCATGTGGACACTTTGCTGAAAACAACAAGCAGGAAAAGGCCCAGTGAGGAGAAATGGCGAACATTCGATGTGCCAAGAGGATCATCCTTGGCCTATAGGAAGGAATTCCAAACTACAACAACAAACAAAGTGGCTCATGTGTCGAGCAACTATAAGGGAAAAAACCCCATGTCGCGCTCCCAGTGGAGGAGGTATTAAAGACGACAAAAAGCTGAAAGAGAAGCTACAGAGGATCCTCAACCAGAATTAAGCACTAATGTGCCACAAAGAAAGGGAAAAGGAAAACAAAGAAAGCCTTTGGAAAGAAAACCAATTTCTAGAAGATTGGTGTGGCCAGAACAAGGT